CCCAGCAAAAATAAAATTTTGCTTTTTGCAGCTGGCATAGATGTGATGGATGTAAAGTTCTGTCTGGTATGTAGCACCAGGACTCTCCTTTTGCTGAACCACAGTAAGGCTCATCATGTACGTATACACATACATGGGTTTACGCACTCTGACTTCTATACATTGTGCCGTTCATAAAGCTTTAGATTAAACTTTTAAAATGTTTTTGTTTTATCAAACAGAATAACTTAAAATACAAACCTCCACATAGTGATAAATTCAACAGAATTTTTAATGCAAAATATACTGTGAAGACAGATGTTAATGGGATAGAAAATCATGAAATCCTGCCGAGTATATTTACAAAGGAGCTCTTGTAGATTATTATAGTCCCCTAGTACTAGTTAGGATTGTGTTCTATGCTGAACATGTTAAATTCATTTAGTTTGCTTTTGACTTCCTTAATTGATAGTGCCCTCAACAGACATACCAAAGGTGTCAAGGGATACAAAGGTAACATGTTATTTCATTTGCCTGTATACAATTTGTTTGGTAGCAGTTTGACCAATAAATGAAAGGAATTTGAAATGCTTCCGTGAGAAATTCTGACATAGTTGGCATTACTGAAACCTGGGAGGAGGATTCACATGACTAAAATGTTCAGTAGATTGCACTGCTGATTTTAGGAAGGGTAGAGTGAGTGAAAAAGGGTGTGTGTGTGTGTGTGTGTAGTAGCACTTTTAAACAAGTAATGGTATATGTGATATTGAGTTATTGACAGTTTGGAAACGGAGTCCTGAATGCTTAAGGATCAATGAATAAAGACCAAACCCTTTATTTATTTATTTATTTATTTATTTATTTTATTTATTTATTTATTTATTTATATATATATATATATATATATATATATATATATATATATATAAAAATCAACTTCACAAAGGTGTAAAAAATTAGATAAATCAGTTGGGGGGGGGGGATTAAACAGAAAAATTTGAATGATAATTAGGAGCTATTTAAGAACATTTTACTAGATGCCCCAAAGACCACAATTAAAAAAGGCTATACACTGGTTAAAACAACCTGCCTTATAGGAGAAGAGAATGTAACTATAAAATATAGGTAATAACGTTCATTTAATATACTTAGACTTCCTTATGGCATTTGGTTTGATATTGTACAATAGTTTTAATAATGAGAACAACCAAAATTAATATGGCACACATTAAATGAATTACATTGAGACCTGTCAGACAGTTTTTAATTGTAGACTGGGAATCATTAAGTAGGTGTATTTCTACTGGGGTGGGGCAGGGATCAGTTCTTGGCCTTATGCTATTTAACACTTTTGTAAATGACCTGGGAGAAAACATAAATCATTATTGAAAGTTTGCAGATACACCAATTAGCCTGACAGTCGGCGTGGGCAAAACAATGGAATGGGTGACAAGTGTATGTCTGGATGTATCTGTATCAATCTGCAAATGCCATTTTGTTCTGAAAAGCTATTTGTTTGTAAAACTGTTCTGTGCCGTCACCTTGGCTCTGTAGCCTCCATTTTGAGCTAAAACACAGGAAATGTCAGAATAAATTCTTGCACCTAACAGAGGATTAACAGTGATGGGGCATTAACCTTGATGACCTATTCAAATGGAAACACCATTGGATGAAGAGCTGGTACCAAGGGAACCCCCTACTGCCCTAGATGTTTTGGGAATCAAAGAATAGATCATCTGATGGGGGTTGAGGCTGACTAGGTAAGTCACCTGCGAGAGAGAGTACTGGAAGCTATATAAGGACAAGGTCGCTGACCACTCCCGAACACTTGTCCAGCACAGGCTTCTCTTTTTGAAGTCAAGGAGAGGGGACCTGGACCCCTGAAACGACATTGACCAGATCCCAAAGAATGCTCAAGAGTGCTGAGACAACCGAGGCAGGGAATGGCATATAAGTGTTTCTTCTTTTGCATGGAGCCATATATCACTTGTGTTGTCTAAAAGTAAAGAGTGAGTGGTTTAGAAATCGCTCTGCAAAGTCTGACTTATTGCCTTCCACTATCATGTCTCCGAAGAGCTAAACAGTAAACAAGAGTCCCCACTAAGGTCGAGCTCTAGAGAGGGCATGCTTAACTATTGGGGAGTCTTGGAGGGGTTTGGCACTGATCTTAGGGCCTAGGGCAGCTAGGCTGCAGGGCCTTTCCTAGAATGGGTGCCAAATGAATCTATGCCCAGGGACCAAGCCAGAGACCAAAGAAAGAGTGAGCACCTAGAACCTACCCAGACCCAAAGGAGCTTAAAAGCACATGGACTTGGCATGTTGGTCCAAACACAGCAGCCTGGTGAGTGTCCAGCAAGAGGAGCTTGACCCAGAGCAATGACAGGTGATATAGGACTTGAAAGGCTAGAAATTTAAAGAAGAACAATGAACAAAACAAAAGAGGTCTTGTCAAATGAACTTCATGTTGTTCCTTGCCAAGATTGCAAGTGTGCTTGATGAGGTAATTGTTACAGTATACTTGGACTTCTGTAAGGTATTTGATGTCCTACCACATGACATTCTAATTTTAAAAATAAAACAAACTAGCACTGTGCAAAATCAATAGAGTAGAAGCTGTCTGATAGTCTGTGTAGTTAATTGTGAATTAGCCGCCAACAGGGTATTTCTAGTGGGGTTCCACAGGGAATGGTTCTCGCTTCAGTGCTATTCAATATTTTATCAACAATCTGAAAGAAGATATAAAATCATGGCTGAGGTTTGCAAATTATACAAAGGTTGTTAATATGGCAAATAATGAAATAGTTATGTACCAATGATCTATCAAATCACTTGGTAATCTAGGTACAATCAAACTTGTATTTTAATATGGTCAAATGCAAGGTCATTAAATCTAAGGACAAAAAGTGTAGACCATATTTAAAGGACTGCGGACTAGAAAGTAGTGTCTCAGAAAAGGACTTTTGGCCTGTAGATCAACAACTGAACCTGAGTTTCAAATATGATGCTTTAGCTAAAAGGGCTGACATATTACTTGGCTATATTAACACAGGAATATTGAGCAAGAGTAAAGTGGTGATATTACTTCTGCACATGACATTAGTGAAACCACTACCAGAATAGTGTGTGTGGTGTCCACACTGTAAAAAAGGTGTTGAACATTGGAGAGGGTTCAGAGAAGAACTACAGATTTTTTTTTTTTTTGGGTGTGGTCTAGAAAATGTTCTTCACAGTGAGATTTAAGGAGCTAGATCTATTTACCTTATCAGAGAAAAGATTGAGGTGACTTGATCATGATCCAAAAGTACCTTCACAAGGACAAGATTTCTGATAGCAGAGGGTTCTTTAACCTAGCCAACACAAGTGTAACTAGATCTGATCAATAGGAGTTGAAGTCAGCGAAATTCAAAATGAAAACAAGATGCACATTTTTATAGTAAGGATAACTAATAATTGGAAATGTCACCTAAGGATGCTTTTGATTCTCCATCACTTGAAATCCTTAAAGATTACATCTGTTTCTGAAATAAGATCTAATTTAACAGCAAGGTTTCATGCCTTCCTCTGCAGCGTGGGGCACGGGTCACTTGCAGGTTTAAACTAGTGTAAATGGTGGATTTTCTGTAATTTGAAGTCTTTAAATTATGATTTGAGGATTTCTAACCTCTGGCAGAGTTACTGGTGTCCATTATGGGAGTGGGTGGGTGAGGTTCTCTGTCCTGCATTGTGCAGGAGGTCAAACTAGATGATCATGATGGTCCCTTCTAAACTTAACTTCTGACCTTAAAGTCTATTCATAAGAAGAAATCACTAGATGCAATTCTCTGGTCTGTGTTATGCAGGAGATCATACTATATGATTGTAAGAAGTGAAATCTATGAAGTCCTTGCAAATCTGTTTTTAGATTTATGCAAATCTAGTTACATTTGTTTGCTGTTGGAAGGGGCTTCTAAAATCTTTCCTGTATTTTGGTTCAATGCATTATTTGTTAGACTTCTTAGCCTAGCAGCCTTAAAGAATTTCCTTTTTATTTTTTTGTTATCTCAAGATTTTTGCTAAATATATATCAGTTGGTGGTAGTGTGAACTAGAACTGTATATATCATGCTCTTGATTTTATGTTCAGATATTTTTAAAGCAATAAAATCAGGGGTCTCAAACTCAATTTACCTTAGGGCCAGTCCTCAAATCCTCCCAGCGGGCCAATAATGTCACTGAAGATGTGTTCAGAAAAGAAAATGTTTATATTGTATTTTTTATTTCGAATTTCTTAGAAGTAATAAAACTGTCATACAACTTTATACAATTCTTCGCCTGCCAGAGAGTTTTTAGTGTTTGCCAGACACCTGGCAACACTTCAGTTCTGTCAGTTTGTTGATGTTTGGCCTCAGTGACTGAGCAGTTGAAACCTTCAGGATTGCAGCAAGATGTGCATCAGATAATTGTGTTCAGTATTTTGACTTGTTTATATTAATTATGGAAAAAAGTGATGCTGCCTCCATGGCTGACTCTGCCCGGCGACTAGTGATGGTATCTCTGTCCATCTCCCCCAGCCAATGGGAGCTGCGGGGGGCGGTGCCTGCAGCTGACATTGCCGGCAATGTCTCTGCATGCGTCTCTCCTCCGCAGGCCACAGTGGGGAGGTTCTCGGGCCACAGATGGCCCGCAGGCCAGGACTTTGAGACCCCTGAATAAAATGATTAAAAAGCCACACAGAAAACACAGTTCATGAACACGATATAGTGCACAGACAAAATCTGTAGGATCAATGTGTACATTATGGTGTAGCTGTTCAACTTTTATAGTAAAATATCAAATTAGATTCTCATTTTGCTTTGAACATAAATTGCCTATTTCATATCCTGGCCATTTGAAATTATTCTGGGTGGGAACAGCATTAGTTAATTATACACAACTCTCACACTTTTGTCAATGTAAGTGCCTGACACACAGTTTATTGTGTAGCTGAGTTTGAATAAATATGAATGTAAATGTAATCTTAATCTCTACCCCTTACATTTTCAGCCCAGAATGTGACTGTTGAGGAAATTATCATTGCCTACAAACAAGCCTGTCAGAAATTAAACTGCAAACAGATACCCAAACTACTGAAGCAGATACAGGTATTGTGGATATTCTTACATATGCAGCACAAAATTTTAATCCTGTTTAGCTCCTGGAGTACGACTGACATGGAAACGCTAGAAAAGTCAGCTGCAGCCATATCAGAACTGAAAACATAAATCTGCTGAAAACAGACCCTATGTTGATACTTAGAATAATTTTCATGCCGGTCAAATATGGAAAAACAATAGCATTGCTTTCTAACAACTTGAGCAGGTTTTTTAGCAGATGAAAAAATGTTGCAGGATGCTAGTATCTAAAATATATTTGTTACCAAAATACTATGCATAAATTATTTAATAAAATATTACAGAAGTCTGGGTTCTTGCCTTTAGTTCTTAAATGGTTTTCTTTCTGTACAGTGCTTACAGATGGGCTCCTTTTTGTACTCAGTTGAAATAAGATGATACGAGTTTTCCAACACAATTTATGTATTGTTTCTATTTTGTGCTGCGTTAATTATTTTTTGTTTTCTCAAGTGTGGGAATAATTTATAAACCTAAACTGTTCTTGGGGAAACTGTATTGTTTTATCATGGACAAAACACATGAAAGGTTAAGGGAAAAGGGATATAATGTGTGAGCAGAGTGATGGATGCAAATGTCACGTTAGCTCCCTGATGGAGATGGTATTTTTTGCTTCTCTAATTCTTTGTGTGGAGTTTGATCTGCTAAACAAAAAAGCAAAAGCAAGGAGAAGGGAGAGGGCAGGGGCGAACAAGGAAGGATGGGAGCACCAAAGGCAGGTGAAGTGAGTGAGGCTAGTGGGAAGGGACTGTGACGTGGAGGGCGGGAAAGGGCTGGCGCAAACAGCCAGTTGGTTCAGGGGAGACAATGACCAGAGCTAAAATTGTAGAAGGGAGTCTGATGACGTCACCAATGTCTGATGGTCCCTGTGGCAGAACATGCTGAGGTTGCTTCTGTGTCTGATCTGCCGGCTTGAGAATTTCTCTGCCTTCCAGGGAGAGGAGTCTGGCTCCTCCCTGGAATTCTTCTTTAAGACCACATGGCTTGGAGGTGGGAGCAGGTCCCCAGAGCAGGAAGTGTGGGGAGTCACCTCTGCATAGTTCTAGGTCTGGAAGGTGCAGGTGGGGGAAAGGGTGGCCCCAGTTGGGTCCCTCCCCCACCGGTGCCACAATTCCTGCTGAGACTGCTTCTGTGTCTGCTCCTCCTAACTTGAGTTTCTGTGAAATGTTAACAATTGTAAAATCCCAGTAGCATCTTTCAAAAATCATGAGTCAGGCCCCCGAAGTCGTGCAGTTGTCTTAAAAATCCTGAGATGATTTAAAAAAAAAGGTGTTGGGTCTCTTTATTTGGTTTCTGCCCTGTTAGGGTACACTTGGATCTTGTTTTCAAGGTTTTCTCCACAGAGAGCTAGGAACTGTTTTTAAAAAATATCTTGACTCAAGCAGCTGGGGCATTAAGAAAAACACCCAAAATGGCAAGAGTTGTCAACACTGCTGAATTCCAAAGTCAGTCCTCCTAGGTCGTCATGTTCTTCTTATTCTTCTAAGCCATATTAGGGCCATGTCTTGACTAAGAACATAGGTTGTGTTCTAAAAACAATGTTAGCCAACACTTTTTCAGTATCATGACCGTAAGCAGATCTTCGCATTTAGTGTAGATGGGGCAAGTCATGTTAGGGTTGACCAAAACCAGCTAACGTTGACTTAACCTGTTCACACTAGATACAAAGGCTTTTTTGAAATGATGATAGTTAAACATGTGTTTTTAAACTGCTAGCTCTTTTCCTAATCTATGTATGGCCTGTGGAGGTAAGTGAAGGGGCATGGCTGCTGTAGCTGAGTACACCAATAAGGACTCTGGAGCAAAAAATATTTGTACAAAAATATTTAGACTGCCAATGAAGAAGCCCACTCCACTCCTCAATACCTCCAAAGAGTCTAATATTGCCAACATAACTCAATATCTCTCCCTCACGCCTTAACCACCAGCTTAATGATTCACACCTATCAGGGCTCCCATCCAATCCTAGTGTGCTAGTCCCTTCCTATGGGGCCTGCAAACACTAAACCATATCAGTCAAACATCTTCCTCACCCCAACACCGTATTAAGAGATGCTAAATTCTAACACCTTCCTCTGGGTCTTCTAGTGCGATTGCTAGGCTGTAAGATTCTCAAGGCGGTCACTGCTTTGCTATCTGTGGTTTGTGTGTGGCCAAGCTTGTTGTCTGATCTTCACACGCTACAAAATATTATTTGATAACAATATTGTTTTAAGGGCTTGTCTACACAAGGGAAGAGGTGAGATTGGGTGGTGGTGGTGGGGGGTTAATCAGCAGCTCTTCAGGTTAATCTGCTTTGAAAACACTTGCATGCACATGACAGTTCATTGTTGTTCACTGACTTCGCATTTGTTGAAAACTCTGGAGTCCCCTTTCAAAATGAACTAACTTCGCTGCAAAGCGAATGAGGCTATGTCTACACTACGCAGCTTTTAGCGACACGGCTGCGTCACTACAGCCGTGCCGCTAAAAAACATGCAGTGTAGCCACTGTCTGTCAGCAGGAGAGCGCTCTCCTGCTGACAAAAAACTTCCACCCCCAACGAGCGGCAGCTGTGTTAGTGTTGTCGGCAGGAGAGTGCTCCCGCCGACAAAGCGCTGTTCACACCAGCGCTTGTCATCGACAAAACTTTTGTCTTTCAGGGTGTGTGTGTGTGTGTGTGTGTGTGTGTGTGTGTGTGTTTTAACACCTCTGAAATACAGAAGTTTTGTCTTTCATTTGCCAGTTAGTCTGATCTATTGTTTGAGTGCACCCAGTGCTACTGCAAACATCTTTCACAGTGTTTCAGTGGCTATCCCACACTGCTTTGTAGTCGACTATTGACCTGTCTGTTTACCTGTGTGTCCTCTCCTGCCCTGGGATCAAGTTGACTGGATGTCCCCTTCCTCATTTATAAGCTGGCTGTTCATTCACTCCTGGATTCCAGTTTATCATGATAGGTGAGCTTAATACTCCAGCATGCCTCAAGCAGCCCTTGTATCCATGCTGAGACTGTGGATCTCAATGCCATCTGGGGAGAAGCGTTGGTGCAGGTAGCTCTTGTTGCCAGCCACCTGGAAAAAGATCTGTTTGTGGGCATTGTGAGGCATGTGCTGGCGAGGGGCTATGACCAGAATGCCAAACAACACTGAATAAAGAGCAAACCACTGAGGAACACCTATGTGAAAATGAGGAACAACAGGAAGAAATGTGGCAGAGAACATTCCCCCCCCCCACCCGGGTGACCAGGAAGATTCATCGGAGCATGAGCAAGTGGAGGCCAGTGAAGAGATCTGAGACAGCCAGGATCTGTTCAGAACTCAGGCACCTGATGCCAGCTATGTAGAAAGTGAGCCAGCCAACCCTGATTCCCAGGCAGCAACTGAGGAGGCTGATCCTGTGGAGGGAACCTTCACATATGCAAGTATTTTTAATTAATTAATTAATTTTGTAAATAACTTACTATTTAATTTTTAATTTACTATTATGCTGTATGGCTGTACTAGCTTTTGTTCCAAGTGCCCCATGGCCAAGTGCAAGGTCCATCCCTCCCTCCATTGGCCCACACTGTCCTTTTGTGCCCCTCCCATATACTTTTCCAAAATTGCCCAACTGAAGTAGTCGCCATCAGCCACTGTCATGTGCTAAAACCCTGGTTACCAACTGTTTTCAGGCCCGTGCTATGGAAGGCACATGCCTGTGTACCTATTGACTTATTTTCCTTTCCTTAGCATCCTGCCTGGTGAATGTGCCCTTTCCCCCGCCCACAAACCCCATTCACTATTTCCAAATCAGTTGCTGGCAGCATTGTGCGGCCTCAGCCTTTCTGCCATCCCCTCCCATGCCAGAGTCAAATAAGGAAAACATTCTTGTGCAAAATGCAGAAGTTTATTGCAACAGTGGTTACAGGAAGCGAAGTTTGGTTAGTGTTCTCACTGTACAGGAGGTAGACATGGACATTGCATGCCCATAAAGCTACAACGAGTACCGCTCCCTGTAATATGCATTTACAGGGCCATTCTGACAGACTGATAACAGTGAATGTTTCAGGCAGTCATTCCAGAACCCTGTCTATTTTTCTTTTCTTTTTAACGTGTCTGCAGGGGAGACAGAGCAAATTCTAAGGCTGAGAAATTGCTCCATTTTTGCTCATAGATGAAGGAATAGCTACATGGCCATCCCCACCAGTATTGCTCGTGACTCCTGCAACACATTGGGGGGACTATCTTGTTGAATAACTTCACAGCATATCTTGCTGCTCTGCCCTTTTCTAATAAGGCCATTCTCTGCCTCCTAGCCACCTGCCTCATTGCACTGTGATCCCGAATCAGGACAGCCTCAAGGGTATTGCTGTCCAGCTGATCCCAAGATTCACCCTGCTAACCCCTCTGATGCCATGTAAAAACAGCTCCAAGGCACAGCCTGAACAGCATAATTCCCATCACCCCCATGCTCCAAGGCACAACGGCAAAGCCACACAGCATATAGTGCCCAGACAAAAGTCCAAAACCACGCGCCACTTACCATCTCCAAGGTTCCTCAAGACTGGAAAGAATCTAAAGGCGGTAAAGCCAGGAATGAATGTTAAAAACACCACAGCTTCTCTAGAATATGAATAACCATTTGTCATTTTTTTTAATACGCCCACAGCTATGGCACCTGTACTGGCCAGACCCTCAAGGAGGAGGGCCCTTATCAGCAACAGAACAGCAAGGAAACCTGAGCGGGAGAAAACAGAAAATTTGTGATGAAAAATTCATGGACATCATACAGAGTCCTCCCCCGGCCCCAAAAATGAAGAATACGGAGAGGTGGAGGCAGTATCTGAGGCCTGAGGGAATACGACAAGGAGCTTTCCAGGGAGTTCACTGCAGTGGCCAAGGACAGCGTAGTAGTTGCCAGGAAAAGCTTTGCCATGGCCAAAGATAATATGGAAGAAGATGCAGAGGCAACTCCTGGGGGCAATACAAAGCCAAAATGCCCTGTTGCAGCACATGTTACTGTTCGGGTAGCAGGCAATGCAGTACTGCAAACTAGCACCCAGCCATGTTTGGCAGCCATTGGACAATACAGGCTACTGGGAACAACTCCTTCTTTTGGCTGTACCCTCGCAACAGTGCACCCAGAGGCCATTCCCCTCCCAGACTCCAGCTCAGGATACCGAGAGCAGTGGCACTTAAGATCCAGCTCTTTTGAGCCCTCTATTGCCCCTGGTAACTTTGAGCCTGCCCACTCCACACCAGAAATCCCATGAACCAGAAGAAGCATAACCAAGACATACCTTCGCCTGTAATTTTAAGCTTCCTGGCTTTATGCTCTGTGCTGAACTGTTGTACTTTACTGTTTTGGTTTCCGCTGCTGGTTTAATGAAACAGTTCTTCGTAGTTAGCTAGCTTGTTTCATAATTAAAAGCATTTTTAAAATTTTTCTCAGTTGAAGGTTCGTTTCTGTTTGTTACATAATAGATTATTTAATGAAAATCTTTATAATTTCATTCACAAGCAGTCAACAGTTCATTTTACACAGAAAATAATTGTTTGCATTCATTCTTAAGCTTTTACAAACACATGTAGGCAAAGACACAAGGTACAACAGGGATTGCCACAATGTTGCACTTCCACTGCCCATAATCAACACTGAACTTCACAAAAATCTCTTCTCCCTCCCACCCCCGTCTCAATCCATGCATAGGTTAATAGCAGGATTCACAGCTGCACAATTTCAGGCCTGAGACTCCAAATAAGAGCGATAGGCATCCTGGACGCTGTTGCCCCGGCTGTTTGCGTTCTGTATTGAATGCCTAGGTGGCTACACAAACCGGTGAGCCAGTCTCTGCACGTCAGCCTTCCACCTATTGCCAAGTCTTTCTCCCTAATTCTCACTAATCCTGTGCCAAATACAATTTGCAGCTATAATCTTTGGGATGTGTTTTTCTCTTGCTTCCAAAGTATTTCACAAACAGTGCAATCTTCCTTTCAGAAATAATAGACACGAGTCCCATCAATGGCCCCAGTATGGCTTGGGAATCCCATATGTGCAAAACCATCAATAACTTCCTGAGCATTATCAAACTTTATAACTTGGTATTACAGTACCTCTCCCTGGCATCGCACACCTGCATGACAGTGGTCCCTACGGTCATTCTCTCCGCTCTGAATTGGTTTGAGAATGCTATGCCCTCAGTTTGCAGCAAACAGCTGCGGTGTGTGCACATGATGTGCCTTGACTGAGGGCACACTGTCCTGCGTGCATGCTATTACTACAGCTTGCATAATGTGTGTTACCTGACACGCAGAAAAAAGCTGCGGATTAAATCCCCTCATCTAGACAAGCCCTAAGAAACACCGTGGGTATGTACCGGTTTCTAGTGAACTCACGGAAGGGTGCGGGGAGTAATGCCCTCCCCTCGTATGTGTGGGGAAGTGTTGCCGTACCTTCCACTTCTGTATTATTCTAGAGGAGGGATTTGTCTTCTCCTGAGTATATTAATGTGCTACTATTTCTCTTACAGGAATTTAAAGAACTATCTCCCAGGATAGATTGCTTGGATCTAAAAGGTAAGCCTCTCTCTCCTAACCCTAATGACGTAGCGTTTTAAAGGAAATTCTTTGAGCAGAAACGGTTGTACTCTGTTTGTACAGCTTCTACCTCAATGGTGTCCTGATCCTGAATGGGGCATTTGCTCTGCTAATGCAGTACAAATAATGCTAATACTGAAGAAACAGCAATAGTTAATTTTGTAGGTGATTCTGCGTGAGACATGTACCCATGTTCCAGCAATGCTGGAAAAATTGCTGCCGCAGTAGTTGTCAGGCCACGGATATAGCTGGGGCTTAGCTGATTTTACCACCCTCTCATGAAAACCTGATTCATTATTTTTTCTCATATGGCCAGTAGGAACCCTTGCAGTTCTATAGTCTGGCCACCTGCATAATGCAGGACATGGCACTTCTCCCTCTGATTCCTCTATTGAGGTTAATGTGTTGCGGTTGAACTAGAGCATAGCTTTCAGGCCATGTCTATGCTACAACATTACAGCTACGGTGCTGCAGTGCTGTAGTGTAGATGCTTCCTACACTGATGGAAGGGTTTTTTCCATCGATGAATCCACCTGTCTGAAAGGTGGTAGCTGGATCGACAGAAGAATTCTTCCATCAACCTTGCTGCATCTACATTGGGGTTAGGTTGAACTAACGGTGGGACTCAGGGCACGATACTTTTCACAACCGTGAGTGAAGTAGCTTGTTTGATCTAATTTTTAAGTATAAACCAAGCCTTGGAATGTTCTCTGATCTTAATACAAAGACTCCAAAGTTATGGAGAAGAGGGAGATGCATGAACAATAGGGGAGGCTGAGGCATCACTTAAGAAAAAACCTGGCCAAATAAGTATGTTTAACAGCTCTTTCTGTATGAGCCCGGGCTCCTGGTTAAGGGGCTTTCTGGAACATGTGGTATTACTCAAGGGTTGCACTCTTTGTCACTTTGGTAGGCCGAACTAATTGCACCCCCCCCCCCCCCCCCAGGGGCTTCTTGCATTCCTTTATTCCCCTCACAAGCTTCCCATGTTCCACCCTCCCATCCCCCTCTATTTCAGGGTCTCCCTGCAACCTCCTTCCCCAGTTAACATTTTTGTTAATGCTGTCACGTATCAGGGGGTAGCCGTGCTAGTCTGTATCCACAAAAACAACGAGAAGTCTGGTGGCACCTTAAAGACTAACAGATTTATTTGGGCATAAGCTTTCATGGGCTACAGCCCACTTCATCGGATGCATGGAGTGAAAATTACAGAGACAGGCATAGATATACTGACACATGAAGAGAAGGGAGTTTCCTTACAAGTGGAGAACCAGTAGTGACTGGGATAATTCAGTCAGGGTGGATGTGGTCCACTCCCAATAATTGATGAGGAGGTGTCAATACCAAGAGAGGGAAAATTGCTTTTGTAGTGAGCCAGCCACTGTTAAAAAAACTTATCTCTAGTCTGAATTTGTCTAGCTTTAATTTCCAGCCATTGCATCTTATTCTACCTTTGTCTGCTACACTGAAGAGTCCATTATCAAATATTTTTCCCCTTTCAGGTACTTACAGATTGTGATCAAGTCACGCCCTAGCCTTTTCTTTGTTAGACTCAAGGAGCTGAATCTATTTAGTTTATCACTATAAGGCAGGTTATCCAATCCTTTAATCGTTCTCGTGTCTATTCTCTGAACCCTCTCCAATTTATCAACCTTCTACTGGAATTGTGGACACAGTATTCTAGTAGTGATCATACCAGTGCCAAATGGAGATATTATATTACATCTCAACCCCTACTCGATATTCTCCTGTCCCAGGATCCCATCAGCCTTTTTGGCCACAGCATTGCACTGGGAGCTGATTATGCTGGGAAGCAGTGACCCTGAAAAAGCTTAGGGAGTCGTGGCGGATAGTGTCGCTCTCCTGTAAGAATGGGCTGCATTCTTTGTTCCTGGATGTATAACTTTACTTTTGCCGTATTAAAACACACATTGTTTGTTTCTTTGTGCCCATTTTACTAAGTGATCAAGATTGCTCTGTGTCAGTGACCTGCAATGTTCCCTTAAAATTTTCCCATCCATGTGCAGAATGAATTTTGTTTTGTGCACCAATATGGAGGTGATGTGGGGCTGAGGGGTTTGGAGTGTGGGAGGGGGCTCAGGGCTAGGGCAGAGGGTGATGCCGGGGGTGAGGGCTACGGCTGGGGATGCAGACTCTGGGGTGGGGCCCGGGATGAGGGGTTTGGGGCGTGTCTGCCCCAGGGCTGCAGCGGGGAGAGAGGACCCCAGCCCTCTGTCCCTGCAGCAGCACCTGGGCCGGGGGAAGAGGCCTCTCACCCTGCACACCCCCAAGCTCCCCCATCGCCATCCCTCACCTCCCTGCCCCAACCCTACCTCCTGTTCCCCACCTCACCCCACTGCCATCTTCCAGGCCCACCTCTGGCCACGCCCCTGAGTGCAGCGCGCATGCCTGTGCGGCTCTGCTAATTAAGTGCGTGGCCCTTGGCGGCTTCCTGCATAGCCGCGCAGGTGCACACCTTAAAGGAAACGTAGGTGACCAGCCCTCTTCGTTATTTACCACTCCATCAGTCTTTGTATCATCTGCAAACTTTATCAGTAATTATTTTTGTTTTCTTCCAGGTCATTGATGATAATGTTAAATATCCTAGAGCCAAGACCCCAGTGGGACCCCACTAGAAACACTACAACCTAAAACTAATTAGAGCAGGCAGCTGGGTGCTCAGCAATTTTGAAAATCAGGCCATTTATTGCTGAGCTTAAATATAGATTTTGGAGCCTGGCTTTAGGCTCCTAGTTTTGAAAATCTTGGCCATATTTTTTTAAATGTAATAGATTTTTCTGATACTTTTCATGCTGCTTCAGATGACGTGAATTACCGTGTCGACAGTTTTAGTTTTTCAGAACTGTGTGCTGGAGTTATTAGATACCAAATTAAAAATACGACTAGCAGAAGGGTGCGTACAACTATGAGAGGTACTGCATGATGTATTTGTGTAGTTGACTCAGTTAAAAAGCAAACTGAAATAAAATGTCAAGCTCTAGTTCCGTACCTACTGATTAAAATTACCTGTGAATCTAAGAATTCTAGACGTTAGAGGTGGCAAAGAGCTTTTTGATTCCATCTCCCTGTCAGTGAAAGACTTGCCTTATGAGATTGATTCAACATTAGAAAATAATCTTCTTAAAACATCCAAATGTGGCTTCTGCCACTCAATATACTATTCTATGGCTGAATTCACAGGGCCCTGCAAATCTGTTGATATCTACTTTATATTGCAGACCATGTTTGCGGATCGGATGCAGATCCAAATTTTGTATCTGTGCAGGGCTCTCTGAATATATCTCCGTGGGAGTCATTAATATACAAGGCTATGATTTTGTCATGGATATTTTTAGTAAAAGTCAGGGACAGGTCACTGGTAATAAACAGAAATTCACTGAAGCCCGTGACCTGTCCCTGACTTTTACTAAAAACATCCCTGACAAAATGGGGAGGGAGGAGGGTCTAGCATCCTGCCTCCCATCTGCAGTGGCTGGGAGCTGTGGGGACCCTGTTGTCCACTGGCTGGTCAGCTGTGGGGGGGGGGTCCCCGTGGCGACTGGTCAGCTGCGGGGGGCAAGAGGGTTCCCCGGCAGTGGCTGGGCAGCTGTGGGAGGGTCCCCTCGCAGCCCGCGGAGGCTGGTCAGCTACAGGGGCCCCCATTGTCACGGAGGTCTCCAGAAGTTACGGATTCCATGACTTCCGTGATCTCTTGATATAATTGCAGCCTTACTAATATACAATCTAAATTTTCCATTCTTAATTTTATTACATTATAGTGATATGCCTCCAGAAGCACCGCCCTTTCTTGCTGTTTACACTTTCCCAATATTTATACAGTTAGGAGCTCGAAATTGCCAATTGGCCTGTCCAGCATACACAGCCTTCTTTGCTGCCACTTCCTCTTACCAGTCAGTATTAGAGTTAAGAATCAAGCTCTTGCGTCAGAAAATTATTCCTGCTTTTTTAATGACATTTGTTTAAGATAACTGAAGGCATTTGAGATGACCTAAGCTGTTGGCTTTCAGCCATTCAGGTGGTAGCAGGAATCTCTAAATAATTCTGACTACAAGTGAAACCTCTGAAAGTAGAAAATGTGTTAGGAACAATTGGACAATATGATTACAAAATAGTGAAATGACAAGGCCAAGACTGGAGGCACGTTAATCATGTATGTATTTTAGGGGCTGGTTCATTATCTGTCTCAATTTATCTCAGCATATTGTTCAGGTGAGGAATTCAAACGTGGAAAATATTTATTAAAGTCCTGGGCATTGGAGGTCTAGGTTGAGTCCCCTAGCTTCTTGGGCGGTCTTAGGCTAGGTCTACGCTACGGGGGGGTCGACTTAAGATACGCAACTTCAGGTACGCGAATAGCGGCGAGTCGACCACTGCTGCTCCCCGTCGACTCCGCTTCTGCCTCTCACCGCGGTGGAGTTCCGGAGTCGACGGCAGAGCGATCGGGGATCGATTTTTATCGCGTCTACACTAGATGCGATAAATCGATCCCCAATAGATCGATCGCTATCCGGCGGGTTGTGAAGACGTGCCCTTAGTTTTACATGCCCTGCTGGGTTAGGTCTGGATCTTGTGGAAGAAGCAGATGCGGACTCTGAATTCATAGTATCATAAAGCTTAGCAATAGAAAAGCTCCTAATGGGTTATCTAGTCCATCTGCTAGGAAACCAGTCCAAGATGATTTTTGTGTGTGTGGGTTTTAAATGTTTAACTTTGCAAATAATAAATGTTGTCTGCAAGAGCAGGAAGTAGCTTACCCCAACTGAAGGAAAAACAAGATCCATCTCTCCTTGCATTGCCCCTTTTTCTGTCCCAATGCCTAGGGTTCTAGAACTCTGACATGTATTTCTCTTAATATTGTGCATATTTATGTACCAACAAAACACTTAACACTGAGTCTTCTGAATTCACTCTGTTTGTTTTTTTCCCCCAGGAGAAAAACTAGACTATAAGGCCTGTGAGGCATTGGAAGAGATTTTCAAAAGGGTCCAGTTCAAAATAGTTGATTTGGAGCAAACGAACCTGGATGAAGATGTAAGTTTCATTTAATGTTCTGTAATTTACCGTGACTTTTTTTTTTGTTTCAAGATTAACAAAAATCCTCTAATTTTCTCTGCCTGGTACAGTGTTGTGTTCTGTTCTGAGCTTTCTCTTCATGCACTCAGGTTAGTGAGCAGTTAAAGGGATGTGCTCCAAATCTGACCTATCCTTGCCATTGCTATTACCCTCTCCATTCATAAGTACACTTCATTTTAGGTCTTTGTTTGCATTTTTGCTATTTCAGAAAGTAATAAATAGAATGAACCCTCGAGATCCAGATTCCAAATTGCCATAATTCAAATAGACCTGGAAGTCTCTTAAATAAACATGTTTAAAAATCCATCGGAGGATTAACCTTTCGAATGTTTTATGTAATGTGAACTGGAATGCTTTTTCCCTGCCGGACCTGAGTTCAGGCTTTATATTCTGAACTTCCTGCGCTACACTAACCTATGTTGTGTAGGTGTGTTGTAGCAATGCCATTGGCTCTAAAGTAACCCCAAAGGTCCCAACGAGTAAGTGAAGAAGGAACTGATATTTTAAACAGTTTTGGTGCAGTGAGCCCAGTGTGCTACAGTTAACAGCTTGGTATCTAAAACTGTGTTTATTTTAAGTAACTATTTCACCACTAGCCCATTTCCTTAATTCTGTTAAATAATAAAGAACGAAAATTGTAAGCCCCAGGTGCCTGTTCGTTATCCATCTGCTTCTGGGTCCCCTCCTGTCCCCGAGTGCTCTCTCTGTAGTGACCTTTTCTTCCTCCTCTGTGTAGCTGGTTCCCAAATGTCCTGCCTCACATCAGGTGAGAGGCAGATGAAATCTCCACCATCTCTAGCTCATTGCCTCCAGAGGTGGAACTGTTTATCTTCCTTCTCTACCACAATCCTTCTTTTTTCTGTTGCCATTCGTGTACAATCTCCCAAATTCTCCCCTCCCCCCATTGCTAAACTATTGTCAATGCCTTGGTCATTTCTTCCTGATCGCTGCAATCTTCCCTCTGACCTTAGCTCCCTGCCTCCCATTTCCCCCCTCTAGTGGTGGTGTTTTGGATAGACTGAAGTCCTGTTCTGCTGTTGTTCTAGACATATCACTGGCTTCATCTTACCCCCATCAAATTCAAGCTCCTTCTTATTCCCTTTACCTCTGTCTGTATCTCTGCTTTTATTTCCTCCTATTCCCACGCTGATAGGTAATCCCTGCATGCCCATCTGACCCTGATTTCTGATCCCATGACTTGTTTTTAGGGCTGTCAAGCAATTAAAAAAAAAAGTAATTGTGATTAAAAAAAATAATACAATACCATTTATGTAAATATTTTTGGATGTCTTCTACATTTTCGAATATATTGATTTCAATTACAACACAGAATACAAAGTGTACAGTGCTCATTTTATATTTATTTTGATTACAAATATTTGCACTGTAAAAAACAAAAGAAATAGTATATTTCAATTCCCCTAATACAAGAACTGTAGTGCAATCTCTTTTTCATGAAAGTTGAACTTACAAATGTAGAATTATGTACAAAAAAACCCTGCATTTAAAAATAAAACAATGTAAAACTTTAGCGCCTACTAGTCCACTCGGTCCTACTTCAGCCAATCGCTCAGACAAACAAGTTTGATTACATTTGCAGGAGATAATGCTGCCCGCTTCTTGTTTACAATGCCACCTGAAAGTGAGAACAGGCATTCTCATGGCACTGTTGTAACCGGCGTCGCAAGATAGTTATATGCCAGATGCACTAAAGATTCATATGTCCCTTCATGCTTCAACCACCATTCCAGAGGACATGCGTCCATGCTGATGATGGGTTCTGCTCGATAACGATCCAAAGCAGAGCGGACTGATGCATGTTCGTTTTCATCATGTGAGTCAGATGCCACCAGCAGAAGGTTGATTGTCTTTTTTGGTGGTTTGGGTTCTGTAGTTTCTGCATCACAGTGGTGCTCTTTTAAGACTTCTGAAAGCATGCTCCACAACTAGTCCCTCTCAGATTTTGGAAGGCACTTCAGATTCTTAAACCTTGGGTCAAGTGCTGTAGCTATTTTTTGAAATCTCACATTGGTACCTTCTTTGCGTTTTGTCAAATCTGCAGTGCCAATGTTCGTAAATCAAACATGTGCAGGGTCATCATCCAAGACTGGTATAACATGAAATATATGGCAGAATATGGGTAAAACAGAACAGGAGACATACAATTCTCCCCCAAGGAGTTCAGTCACAAATTTAATTAATGCACTATTTTTTTTTAACGAGCATCATCAGCATGGAAGCATGTCCTCCGGAATGATGGCTGAAGCATGAAGGGGCATACGAATGTTTAGCATGTCTGGCACGTAAATACCTTGCAATGCCTGCTACAAAAGTGCCATGCAAATGTCTGTTCTCACTTTCAGGCGACATTGTAAATAAGAAGCAAGCAGCAGTATCTCCCGTAAATGCAAACAAACTTGTTTTCTTAGCGATTGGCTGAACAAGAAGTAGGACTGAGTGGACTTTCAGGCTCTAAAGTTTTACATTGTTTTGTTTTTGAGTGCAGTTATGTAACAAAAAATAAATACATTTGTAAATTACACTTTCACAATAGAGATTGCACTACAGTACTTGTATGAGTGAATTGAAAAATACTATTTCATTTATCAATTTAACAGTGCAAATATTTGTAATAAAAACGAATATAAAGTGAGTACTGTACACTTTGTATTCTGTGTTGTAATAGAAATAAATATATTTGAAAATATAGAAAAACATCCTAAAATATTTAATAAATTTCAATTGATATTATTGTTTAACAGTGCGATTAATCACGATTAATTATTTTAGTTGCAGTTAATTTTTTTGAGTTGATCACATGAGTTAACTGCAATTAATCGACAGCCCTACTTGTTTTGGTTTATTTTCTTTCTGCTGGATTGGAAGGGCTTGAGGGCAGAGTCTGGCACTATATGTTGTACAGTTCCTTGAACATTAGGAGCTAATCAGAAATGGTTAGCAATAATAATAATAATACTCAGGACTTCCTAATCACATTTGACAAGAGATGAGGTAAAAAGTAGGATGTTAAACAGTAAAGAACTGTGAAGGTGTAGCCTACAATTCATTATCCCGAAGAACTCTGTCGTCCTTTGAAGGGAATAATTAAAAAACGTTGCATGGCTTCAAAGCTATTTTGGGTACCTTTGGCCAAAAGGTAATTCTGGATGTCCTTGCTGCACATATGGCTTTTCTTGTAAATCAGGTTTTTGCTCCTGCCAGTTATGTTGCAGCCAGAACAGCTGTAGAAAAGTGAGCACTGTTGCCCATCCTCAGCAACATTTACATAGTTAAGGGAAGGGCTGGTATTTTGAGATTCTCAGATTTAAGACTATTATAGTACTTTTCACACTTGGGGCACTTAATTTTTTTTTTAAAGGTAATCTCCAAGAGAAGGAGTCAGACTTTTCTTAAAATTATGTGGTATTTTCATAGATTGTAAGGCCAGAGGGGACCACTGATGACTTGTATAATACAGGTCACGGAACTTCCCTGAATGAATTCTTGTTTGAACTGAAGCAGACCTCTTAGAAAATATATCCAATTTTTACTTAAAAATTTCCAGTGATGGAGAATACACCACAATTCTTGGTAAACTGGTCAGTGGTTTGTCCTCGCAGTTAAAAACGTGTGCCTGATTTCCAGCCTGAATTTGTCTAGCTTTAACTTCCAGGCATTGGATCTTGTTATACGTTTTGTCTTCTATATTTAACATCCCATTATCAAATTTTTGTTACCTTTGTAGGTACTTGTAAACTTTGATCAAGACACATTTCTGCGGGAGTTCTCTATTCTATTTGATTGGCTGTTTCAAGCAGATGTCATAAGAAGCCAAAAGGAGGGTCATGAACAATGTTTATTAGCTTATTAAGTAGCCATTGCTGCATCTGCTACTGAATTGAGTTTTCTAGAAATCCCACTGGACTCCAGTCCTTTCCAGCTGTGATTATTTATTGGATTTTTTTTTTTTTAATATATAACTTTGGCTAAATATCAGGAAACTATTTCCTGACAGTCACAACTGGTAGCAGCCTTGTTGCGTGTGACATTTAAAACTAGACTGGATAAAGAGAAGAAATCCCGTAGGGAATATCCTGCCCCAATTCTGGGCATGGACTAGATGGAACCAATAGTTGGCTGACCCTCAGTTTGGGCAATCTTACTGTTCCTGGCGGGAGTTCTTTTCAGAGTCCAGTTTACAATCCCTTTGCCTCTAGCTTCTGGCAGTACTTCCCAGGACCCACTGCAGGTCTCTGTCTAGAAGCAGCCCTCCAGAGCCTTTGCTCATATTGAGCTTGTTGTGTCAATCTCCCCCCAAACAGGGGAGGTTGAAGGAAAAGTTTAATGTGATCGGTTGACTCTGGGTCAATTAGCCTGCAGGATGCTTAACGCTTTCTGGCCATGTGATACACTTTGTATAAGATTCGTTGCAACTATATAACAGTGGTAGCCCTAATGATTTGCATGGTTATATTTTAATTAGACAACGTCGCAATTAGAAACTGCCCCAAGCTGAGCTGCCCTGGTTACCAGAGCTCACAAGCTGTCCCTGGCAACCTCCCTGGTTCTGGGAGAACTTCATTTTTCTGTGGCCAGTCTCCTTTAAGCTCCAGTTCTCCCGGTGGTGCATATTCTGCAGGTGTGCCTGATTGGCACTATCTGAGTGCAGGAATACTTCTTAGCCTTGCCACCAGTGGGATGGAGGTGTGTTCAATCACATACCTCCCTTCCAAAACCAGAATGATTTCTTGCTTGAGCATGTCCCTGGGGAAGAAAAACATCCACATTGTATGCTCTTTCTCTGCTTGGTACTACACCCAGAAGCTATAGAGCTGGAGGGCTAGATACCAGCATGTAATCCGGGGATTTGAGTCCTTCATGGAGTGTACCCTGTACAAGGGCGCATGGTTTATGACTAGGGAAAGGGGACTACCTAGCACATTATACCTCAGGGAGCCAACTTGATAGCGAAAGCTTCCTTCTCAGGGCATGTTTACACTAGAAATTTAAGTCGACCTATGTTAAGTTGACTTACAACCACGACAGTAATTATTGCAGTGGTTCATGTACACACTGCCCTCCTTCTGTAGGTAGTGTGCATTCTCACCAGGGAGTGCTTCCACCAACTTAAGTGGGGCTGCCCACCCCCCGGCTCTCTGTTCCCTGCTGCCAGGAGCCCAGCTCCCCCTTCACCCCCCCCTTCTTGGCTCCCCACTCCTTGTCACCGGGAACCCATCTGTCCCCACACACACACGCACACTCTCCCGTTGGCGAGCTCTGTGCCCAGAGTCATAGAATCCTAGAATATCAGGAGGTCATCTAGTCCAACCCCCTGCTCAAAGCAGGACCAATCCCCAGACAGATTTTTGCCCCAGATCCCTAAATGGCCCCCTCACGGATTGAACTCACAACCCTGGGTTTAGCAGGCCAATACTCAAACCACTGAGCTATCCCTCCCCACCGGTGCGGCTCCCGTGCTCCTACTGTGGTGTATGCCAGATTAGAATTGCTGAATGGGAAGTTAGCTATGATAGGTTGTGCAGCCACCAGGCCCGCTGGAATAATCTAGATCTTTGGAAGGGTTGCTGGCTTGGCAGGTTCCCAGTATTTTGAGGAATTCTGGGGTGCTGCTCATTGCTTTTCTGGAAAGAACTGCTGGTGACTTAACTGCTGGATGAAATTGTTAAAGGTATTGTGGGTGTGACATTCTGTACCTTGGGGGAGCACCCTGTAGCCCCCATATTCCTCATTTTACATATAATTGTGTTATTGCATATAAAGCATTCTATATAAGGTATTGTGGGAAAGGTTATGATCCGCTGAAACCCACTGTTCATATGCATTAATAATATACATATTTAAATGGAAGTTATGAGAATTGTGTTGTATGATTGTCACTAAAATATGCTATGGGTTTGGGAAGTGCCCAGATACTAGCCCTTCAGAGACAATGACAAGGGAGGTAACCAATGCCCAAGTGGGTGCTGAACATACATCACCAGCCATTGTCCGGCAAGGGAGCTACAATGCAATGACTCACCTGCACAAGGCCACATCAGGGGAATTGCTCAACCATGCCTGTGGCTCAATGCCCACCAGCCATGCCTGGATTTGTGTTCCGCAAGCACATGGGACTAAGGGTATAAAACAGAACACAGTGGCCCCATGCTTAGTCTTTTCTCCTCCCCACACCTGTGCTGCAAGCAACAAGGACGCTCAGAAGACTGAAGACTCCAACAGAGGAGACTGGCCCAGGTTTCAAGGGTGAAATCTGTGTACTATGAACTGCAATATCCAGTGGGGTGAGAAAAACTGCTTAATCTAGATGTTGCCCAGGCCAATAGGGTTGAGAGTTTAGACTGCGTGCTTACACTTTATTTTATTTTGGTAACTAACTCTGACTTTTTGCCTGTCACTTAAAATCTATCTTTTGTAGTCAAACTTTTTTTACCGTTTATCTTTACCATTGAGGTTGCCTGAAGTGTTCGGTAAATCTGCTCAGGTTTACAAAGGCTGGTGTATATCCATTTTCCATTGATGAAATGGGGAACCAATTAATAAACTTGCACTGTTTGTCTTGAGCAGTGCAAGACGGTATATTCTTGAGGTACAAGGCTGGGAGCTGGGGGGATTTGGCTGGTACCTGTCTCTGTGTGATTCATGAGTGGCCCTGGGAACATTCATCCAATCCAGCTGGGTGTGGGGCTCCACATGCGGTTTTGCTGAGTTATAACAGTGCCTGGAAGGATTTGCTGTTTGTCACTAGCAAAGCATTGTGTCAGACAGCCCAGGCTGGAGAGTTAAGGGGGCACATCGATGCCACAGTCCCAGACTGCACCTTGGGGATCCCGTCACGGTGGGGCTCTTCTTTGAGTCCTTGCTCATGTCCATTCCAATGTAGGCGTGCGCGTGCTGCGTGCACCGCCGCTGGAAAGCTTTTCCCTCAGTGGTATCCATCAGGTCGGCTCTGGTGCCCCCTGGAGTTGTGCCCTTATAATGCTGATATACGTAGTCCTGCCGACCTGCCACCCTCTTAGTTCCTTCTTGCCAGCTAACTCCAAAAGGAGTAGGAGGGTGGATATCGGAATGGACATGAGCAAGCACTCGAAGAAGAAAAACAGTTACTAACCTTCCGTAACTGTTGTCCTTCGAACCACCCTGGAGCATGCTAGCTCCAAGAGGTTCAGCCGTGGAGCTTCCAGGCTGTGAGATGAAGGGACTTGAGGTTCAGAGGTCATAGACGGACGTGATCCTGGGAGATCAGATCGTTGATTCCACCAAGAGGTCCAGAAGGGTGGTGAACCAGCGTTGACGTGGCCAGGCCATGGCTGTCAGGATCAGGCTCATGCCTTTCTTCTTGACCTTCAGCAGGACCTTGTGTATGAGCGGAATGGGAGGAAATGCATAAAAGAGATGATCCTTCCAAGGGAGAAGAAACGTATCTATGAGCGAACCTGGGCTGTGATTCAGGAAGGAGCAGAACTGCAGACGCTTCCTGTTGTGTCTCATATCAAACAAGTCTATCTGGGGAGCTCCCCACCTCTGGAAAATGTCCTTCATGATTTCTGATTGAATGGACCACTTGTGATTGGAGAAAGATCTGCTTAGGCAATCCGCTAACTCATTCTGTGCCCCCAGAAAATAGGAGGCTTTGAGGTGGTTTGAGTGGGTTATGCAGAATTCCCACAGGCAAAGGGCTTCCTGGCATAGGTGAGAGAAACACTCTCCATCCTGTGTGTTCATATAGAACATCGCTGTCATGTTGTCTGTAAGTATCGCTACGTATTTGCCTTCCAGGTGGGGCTGGAACATTTGGCAGGCAAGGTACACCGCTCTGAGTTCCCTCACGTTGATGTGTAGCAAGAGCTCTCTTGGGACCAGCGGCCCTGGGTCCTGAGTACCCCCAGATGAGCCCCCCAACTCAGCCCAGATGAGTCAATGACTAGAAATATTGCCAGATGTGGTCTCGAGAAGGGGACACCTGCACATACTGCCCTTGGGTCCAACCATCAAAGGAGGGTGGTGATTACTGAATGGGGAAGCGTGACAACCATGTCCAAACGATCCTAGCCCAGCCGGTACACTGATGCTAGCTAAGCCTGGAGAGGTTCTGAGTCATAATCTCGCATGCTGCATCACATAAGTGCATGAGGCCATGTGCCTCAGGAGTTTTAGGCAGGTTCTTGCCGTGGTGGTTGGGTGGTGTCTTAGGCTTTCTATGATCATGCCTAGGGCCCGGAACTGGATCTCTGGAAGAAATGCTCTGGCCTGGACCAAGTTGAGGCCCGCCCCTATAAATTCTACTCTTTTAACTGACGAGTGTCGATTTTCTGCATGTTTATCAACAGGCCTAACTCTTTGAAGGTTGACAGTATCAACCTCACATTTTCCTCCACCTGGGCCTTGGACCAACCTTTGACCAGCCAGTCAACAAGGTAAGGGTAAACCTGAACCCTTTGCTTCCTCAAGAAGACTGCGACAACTGCCACACACTTTATGAAAACCTGCTGAAAGGCCAAATGGAAGTACAGTGAACTGGTAGTGCACTTGGTTCACCACGAAATGGAGGCATTTTCTGTGGCCTTGGAAGATTGAAATATGGAAGTAGGCGTCCTTCAAATCGAAAGCAGCATACCAGTCCCCTGAATCCAGAGATGCGATAATGGTGACCAAGGAGACCATGTAGAACTTCAGCTTCTTCGTGAATATGTTGAGGTTTCACAGGTCCAGGATGAGTCTGAGACTTCCATTGGCCTTTGGGATTAGGAAATACCAGGAGTAAAACCCCCTGCCCCGTCGCACCAGAGGAACCTCCTCTACTGCTCCCACTTGCAGGAGCATTCGCACTTCCTGGAGTAAACATTGCTTGCGAGAAGAGTCCCTGAAGAGGGATGGAGAGAGAGGGTAGGAAGGAGGGGAAGAACTGACCTGCAGGGTGTATACCAGTTCTATAGTGCGTAGCACCCAGCAGTCTGAGGTGATGTGGGACTATGCCCAATAGTAGTGGGATAGCCAGTTGATAAAAATTGGTGAGAGTGGATCCAGACACTGTCCTGGTATGCCATCCACGGGTGTACCATCAAAAGGCCTGCTTAGGCCCTGCCTCCTACTGTAATCCTGCCTTGACGGAGGCTGGTAGAAACTGGGCAATGGCTGGGGCTTAAAGTGCTTTCTCAGTGGCGCCGGCATGTGTAATTTGAGGAACTTTAGAGTGACTCTCGAATCCTTCACTCTGTGTAGTTTAGAGTCCATCTGCTCTGAAAAGAGAGACATGCCCTCAAAAGGAAGGTCCTGAATAGTCCACTGCACTTCATATGGGAGGCCTGAGGCCTGCAGCCATGAGCTCCTCCTCATGACCACGGCCGAGGTTATGGTTCATGCAGCAGAGTCCGCCACATCTAATGCTGCTTGCAGGGACACTTTTGCCACTGCTCTGCCCTCCTCGACTGGAGCTGAGAACTCAGTCCTAGATTCCTATGGCAGGAACTCCTTGAACTTAGTCATTACACCCTAGAAGTGCAAGTGGAATGGACATGAGCAACACGTTTCAAAGAACAACAGTTATGGAAGGTTAATAACCATTTTTTTTCTCTCTAGGTCTCCCTCTATGTATTAGCAAGCCGCTAGCTTCGTGGATTGTTTCTGTGCAGGTTACTTACTGGAAATGAGAAGCTAATGTCTGTGACGGTTTCCCAGAGCCACTGCCGAATGTCTCCACAATCTTGTGTCAACTTTACAGTTTCTTTTCCTCTTTGTTTTCCAGGGTGCCTCAGCATTATTTGACATGATTGAGTATTACGAGTCAGCGACGCACCTCAACATCTCATTTAACAAACACATCGGCACCCGAGGCTGGCAGGCAGCTGCACATATGATGAGAAAGGTTTGTATTAGTTCTTGACCATTTTTATCATCTGTTTAATTTACTGCTTGTAAACATCCAGTAATACTAACATGATTTCAAGTTAGTGTAGGGTTAGACTTTAATGCGGTTGGAACTCTGTTAATCTAACCATTTTCTGTGTGGTGGGGAGGGAGGGATGTGCATAAAAGAAATGACAGGTAGCTTTTTAAACTACAATGGGAAATTTCAACTAGTAGCTTGCTGGGGTGCTGGGACGGAGGAAGGACTGTCTTGTGCTTATGGCTGTGGACTGTGATTGGGAGATCTGGGTTCTATGTCCAGCTTTACCGGAGTTCCTGTGTTACTGTAGGCAAGTCGTTGAATCTCCAGTGTTAAGGCAATTCAGTGAGTAGCCAGTGCAGCGATCGTGACACCAGAATGAAGTGCTTCCTTAAACCCCGTGTTGCACAGCAGCCTCCCTGTTACCCTGCTGGAGTTTCTTTAGTGCCTGTGTGCTCTTTGCCAACCAAGCACAATACACTGAAGTGTTTCAGTGGGTCTGAGGTTTGGGATCATTGCTTGTTGCTTGTGCCAGGTGGGCCTATTAAGAGGATTTTGCTCTGTAATTTCATAGTGGGACAAAATGTGGAAATGTTTCAGATAATTATCATTCCGTCATTTATAAGGAAATAGCCAAGGCCTGAGGCTGATGGTTTTTAAACTAAATGTATATCATAGTAAAAAGTGAACGTCTGCTTTGTGCAAACATTACCTATAAAAGAAAATAGTTCATAGTAAGATGTTTCAGCACAGTGTTCTACTTAATGAGATGGTAATTGGGGATGTGGGAATGACATGGGATATGCTTATCATGTCTGCTCATTCTGAAATATGAAAGTCCCATGAAATGTACTTTGAAAGAGATCTTTTTTCATTTGTATTACAGTAGCACCTAGAGGCCCTGTCCAGAAGAGCTTACAAACTAGAAAGAACAGACTAACAAAGGGTAGGAGATAGGAAGTATTATCCTTTTTTTATAAATGAGATTATATAATTTATCCAAGGTCACACAGGAAGTCAGTGGCAGAGCTCCTGAAACATAGGCGCCAACTCCATGGATGCTCCGGGTCTGGAGCACCCACGGGGGAAAAAATGGTGGATGCTGAGTGTGACAAAGTAGGGATTTTCCCTTGTTATGTTGTGTGTGAGCCTATGTGAGTCTTACTGTTTTGCACGAATGCTGTGTGTGTTGCATCCAATGAAGTGGGCTGTAGCCCACGAAAGCTTATGCTCAAATAAATTTGTTAGTCTCTAAGGTGCCACAAGTACTCCTGTTTTTTTTGTGTGCCTCAGTTTCCCTGTGTATTGCACCAATGTCTAGGTGGTGGGAATAAGGGTGTGTGACTTTTGTGGGGGTTGCTCCAGCTGCCTACACCAATGCTATGGCTGCCCCTTCATAACCTGAGACCCAGGAGGGGGATGCGACCAGGAGACTCTTGGCCCGGGAAGCGAGACAAAGGTCGGAGGAGAAGCAACGGACAGGGCAGGGGCTATACAGCTGGAAGCAAGTCAGTCTCGGCTGGCTTGGGGCTGAGGGGGAGGACCAGAGCCCTGGCTCTGGTCTCTCTCGTCCCCCCAAGATGGACTTGGCTGAAAGTCACTGATTTCTGTGCTAATAAGTTCTGTCCTACGCTGTGTTCCTGTCGACTAATAAACCTTCTGTTTTACCATCTGGCTGAGAGTCGCGTCTGACTCCAGAGTTGGGGTGCAGGGCTCTCTGGCTTCCCCAGGAACCTCACCCGGGCAGACTCGCCGCAGGAAGTGCACGGTGTGAAAGGGGATGCTGAATGCTCTGAGGTCAGACCCAGGAAGGTAGAAACTGTGTAAGCCTCTTGCCTTGGAGACGGTATGCTCAGAGAGAGGAGGCTCCCCCAGAGTCCTGGCTGGCTTCATATGGAGTAGTTCCAGAGCATCGCCCCAGTGACTCTGTGACAACTGGTGGCAGTGGTGGGATAAAGTGTGTCCTGCAGTAAGTGACTGGGGAGCAGTAAAATGAAGGGGGATTAGAGGGGCGTGCTGGAGGCTCCGAGGGGTGCGGTTCCAGGAGGAGCCTACAGCTTAACCCTGAGAGAGGTGGACCCCCAAGAAGGGCTGTCCCTTGAAGAGGTTCCTCCCAGGGATCGTGGGAACCTGAAAGAGCACAGGCCTGTGAGTCCGTGACCACTTGGGAACAGGGTGGAGATGGCCTATAACCATCTCCTTAAGAAGGACATTGTGGAGCTGTGCAGAGAGAGACGGCTGCGCATTGGAAAGCTCACCAAGGCACAGCTGATTGCTCAGTTGGAAGAGGAGGATCGCTCTAAGGAGCCGGTTCCTGACCCAGCTGGAGCCATGAGAGAGGCTAGGAGCAGCCAGGTGTCCCGGAGACCCGTGTCCCCGACCAGACTGGGGGTCTCCACCGAGTTCCCCGTTGGTGGATTGGAGATGGATGAATTGGAGCTGAGTTTGAAGGAGTCAGAGGACCATGAGAGACAGGGAAGGCATGAAGCACAACAGCAGGAGAGAAAGGCAGCAGGAACTGGCGCTGGCAGAGCTGAGAGGCAGAGGGACCCATCCAGGGGTGAGTGGGGATGGACCCCAGGATGCCAATTCCGCAGGGACCCTAAATTGCTGCCCCAGGTTAAGGAGGGGGGAGATATAGATACCTGTCTTGCGGCCTTTGGGAAGGCTGGCAATTGGAATGAGGCTGGCCCTGCGGAAAGGCTCTGGTATTTAGCCCCCTTCCTGGATCCCAAGGCCATAGAGTTGTTTAGCCAGATGGGTGGGGTGGCAGACTGGCTCTCACTCCTGGCCCCAGCATATATGTCTGCATGTACTATCCTGGGCTCAGACCCCTCAGATCCCCAGTGGGAATGGAAAGTGGTGGTCCATGGGGAGATATTCCTGGAATGGCACGATTCTGGGACAGAGAGAACTGTTGTCAGGCCCCGGATGGTGTAGCCTCACCAGATGCTAAGGGGCAGTGTGACCTGGTTGAAGGTCCCAGGGATGAAGCCCCTCGCCCTGCCTATGGCCCAGATCCCTGTGCAGAGACAGGAGGGGTTGGGCTGGCTGGTAGTTGGGCCTTTATTGGGATGGCAGGGCACTACCTGAGGTTTGTGCCCCACTTTAGCTCTGTGTCAGCTCCCATCACTGAGCTATGCAATAAGGGTAAGCCAGACAAGCTGGTCTGGACCGAGCAGTGCCAGAGGGCTCTCTGCACGCTGAAGGAGGATTTGGTTAAGGGCCTGGTGCTGGGAAACCTGGACTTTGACCAGACCAGGCGTCAGCAACCTTTCAGAAGTGGTGTGCCGAGTCTTCATTTATTCACTCTAATTTAAGGTTTCACATGCCAGTAATACATTTTAATGTTTTTAGAAGATCTCTTTTTATAAGTCTCTATAATATATAACTAAACTATTGTTGTATGTAAAATAAATAAGGTTTTTAAAATGTTTAAGAAGCTTCATTTAAAATTAAATTAAAATGCAGAGCCCTCCGGACCGATGGCCAGGACCCCGGCAGTGTGAGTGCCACTGAAAATCAGCTCGTGTGCCGCGTTCGGCACGCATGCCATAGGTTGCTTACCCCTGGACAAGACCTTTATGGGGTTCACCGATGCCCCACACACAGAGAAAGGCACCAGCCAAATCCACCCAGCTCCCAGCCTTGTACCTCAGGAATATACGTTCTTACAGTGTTCAAGACGAGCAGTGCAAATTTATTAATTGGTTCACCACTTCATCAATGGAAAGTGGATATACACCAGCCTTTGTAAACCTCAGCAAGCACCCTTACTTCAGGCAAACTCACTGGTAAAGATAAACAGTTAAACAAATTTATTGATTAAAAAAGACAGATTCTAAGTGATTATAAGTGATAGGAAAAAAGTCAGAGTGGTTACCAAAATAAAATAAAATATAGAAGCACTCAGTCTAAACTCTCAGCCATATTAGACTGGGTACCATCTAGAGTAAGCAGTTTTTCTCACCCCACTGGATATTGCAGTTCATAGTACACAGGTTTCACCCTTGAAACCTGGGCCAGTGCCCCCTGTTGGAGTCTTCAGTCTTCTGAGTGTCCTTATTGCTTGGGGGAAGGAGAAAGGCCCAGCATGTGGCCCCTGTGTTCTGTTTTATACCCTTAGTCCATGTGCTTGCAGAACACAAGTCCAGGCATGTCTGGTGGGCGCTGCTGAGTCACAAGGTGAAGCAATACCCCAATGTGTCTCCTGTGAGTGAGTCATTGAATTGTAACTCTTCTGCTGGACAATGACTGGTGATATCTTTTCAGCACCCACCCGGGCGCTGGTTACCTCTTCCCTTGTCATTATCTCTGGAGAGGTAGTATCTGGGCGCTTCCCAACCCCACAGCATATTTTAGTGACAACCATACAACACAGTTATCATAACTTCATATGCATTAATGATATACATATTTAGATAGAAAAATGACTTTCAGCAGATCATAACCTTTCCCTGATACCTCACATGGCATGCTTTATAAGCAAGATCATAATTACACCGCTACCCCTATATAACGCGACCTGATATAACACGAATTCGGATATAACGCGGTAAAGCAGTGCTCCGGGGGGGCAGGGCTGCGCACTCCGATGGATCAAAGCAAGTTCGATATAATGCGGTTTCACCTATAACGCAGTAAGATTTTTTTTGGCTCCCGAGGACAGCGTTATATCGAGGTAGAGGTGTATATATAAATGAGGAATATGGGGGTTATAGGATGCTCCCCCAAGGTGTAAAATGTCACAGTAATGTCTCATTGTTCTGTCCTTTTTTCACACCTTCTAAAGCTTATATTTCTGACTTTAAAAAGGAAATTAATTAGGTTGTAAAGTCAAGCTTTCAGGTTATGAAATACTAGACTTATAGTTGCCAGTGCACCTTTACTTCTGCCCCCCATGCATCCAGCCTGTTCACTGAATGAGGCAAGGATTCTGTGGAAAAAATATGATGATGTAATTAGACTACCATAATGTG